AAAACTTACAAATTATTTAGTCAAATATCGTAGACTGACAAACCCTCATCTCATATCATTGAATTCAAATTTAATACCATCCATACAGCAACCCACTTGTAACCTATTGTAGGTATAGCAGTGCATCCACTTACCTGCTTTTTTTTTGTTTGCTTAATATTGTAGTTTTACGATACACACTAAATAGTAGTTAAGTGTGAAATATGAATGAAAATCACAATTCTTATGTATTTTTTTTTTTTTATTAATCAGAAAATTAAATCAGGATTATTGCTTTATACCAATTAAAAACAAAATCTCATATAAAAGTTCTCCTATAAACCAAATGTATATATAACTATTYTTATATGAAGAACTTATAATCTAAAAGCGATAACTATTAACAATGAAAAAGCATTTAAAGGTAAAATCGTTAAATGTKATTTTAATTAACTGTTTTCGGTATTATTATAATATTCGGTATGAATTACGTATATTAATGACAATAAGCGTGCATACTAGCATACTGCACAACAGGTGTTAATATTTGAAATTTATATTTGATTTTTTAAACCAATGTATCTCATTATATTATATAAGATTAAAATACATCATTAATTAATTTGTTATAGTTACTTTATATTTAATTATTAAATGATATAGGTAGTAAACAACAATTATTATAGCACATTATAATACTATTTACACATCGAAAACCAACAAATCGGACTAATATAATTATAGGTGCAATATAATAATATAATGTCATGCGACCGTTCGTATACTGTGTACCTATGTATATGATACTAACCTATTATACACGATACGCATGCGATCAGCACTATTATTTTCAATTTTTTTTTTTAAATTATATTATCGCGTTGGTGGTGTCGTGAAAATTCCAAGAGCATATCTCCAAACGTGTACCTCGCTGCAGAGACCCGAGTCACGCGCCTACTAATGACACGTCCGATGGCGTCTGCAGTTATGCGACGGTGCGGACGTTATCGTCACGTTGTATCGGGTGTACCTCATCGTCAATCGGCAGTGTAAGTTAGGTGGAATCGTCTCGGCGAGGGGGGGAAGTCGGCTGTTTTTTATTTGCCGCAAACAATATTTTTGAATACATCGAAATAAATAATTTTGTGATCGCTACCAAACGAAATGTCGAATTCTTATTCTTGATATCGGGGTTGCGGGGTTTCAGGGTTACTATAAATGATTAACCGAAGATTAAGAATGATGATGTTTTAAAAATTATACATTACAGTGGTCGCCTATTAAAGTAATCGCTTTGGTAATGRATCAAATGGATAACATAAAACGACTCTTCATACTAAACCAAAAATAAATTGTGCACGCAATACAGGCCGTTTACTCACACAGTCACACTTTTCGATAACGGTGTACGATCGATAACACAAATCGTGATTAAAATAAGCGACGACCACTGGATTTATATCTATAATTTAAAATTGATAAATTTCAATAAATGTACCATCATTAAACTTGACAAATGACAAGTATCTACAGAATGTCTCGCGATAATTTACCCATTGCGATATCTCCTGAGATAATAAATATATCAAAAAACTGTTATTTCATTAGRCTCACATAGACAAGGGCTACGTATATTTTATTTTATTTTTTGGTAAAAGTAATTTTTTAATTTTTGAAAAATATAAAAATACTTATTTTTATTGAGTTTATTTTGAAAAATTTGACCTTTCAACATTTTATTTTCATTAAAATCACATGATTTTTAATTATKTTTTTAGTTTATAATTAAAACGGCAAAAAACTAGTTTTTATCCTGGCGACGAGKCCCCCTCAACGGCTAATGAATATATCCTCACAGGACACTGTGTATATTCTATATTTCTATAATTTCAATACGTGTAAATATAATATAATGATAGTTTAAAATATTATATTTTTTAATCATAAAAATGAAGCTACACAAAATCAATCATGACCAATGATTAATTTATATCATCATGGAGAAAGTGGTATAGGTAATTAATATCTTCAATACACTTTTTCAAGCAAATCATTTTCTTTTAAATTAATTAATCATCGTATCCTTTTTATGTTCGCCATTCAAAATGCGTCGTTATAATATGCCAACTCCAACATTTTTACTCAGATAGAGAATATTATGTTAACTTCTTAAAAAAGCCTCTTGACCAGTTTCGCTATGATTAACATGGATTGCCTTTGCATAACACACAGATCCACCTGCTGAACAGAGCGGTTAGAGAAGCGGATAACGGATGCAAACTGACCGAGCACATGATGCAACAGGGACAGAACAACGATGACGAGCTGACCTCAAATCGTAGTACCGACGCGGGCGCGCACGGCGTGAAAATCGTGTTAGGAGCGATACTGGAAAAGTACACCGAACGGTCGGCTGCCGTGACGGCGACGGCAAAAAAATGTATCTGTCCGCGGACGCCGACGTGATATACACCGGTGATTGATATCATAATATACATGTGTATGTAATAAACTGTGTTGTTTTCACAACGGATTCGTAGAAATCGCCTTGTGTCGAGAGATGGTCGGAATGTGCCGATGAGACGTACGTCGTGAACCCGTTGGTACCGTCTCCAGTATTCGAAAACAACAGCAGCTGTCTCCCTTCGAGAGTTGGCCAACACATTCTCAAAGCACCGCGTGTTTTTCTGTTTTTAATTCGTTAGATTCACCGGGTTAGATCTACAAGTAAAARGGTTACCTACCGGGAGAGGAAAACCAAAACAAGCACATCATTAWTATTTTCAAATTGCATATAATTTATTTATTCATTTTTCCTAGTCGATTATATTACCTTATACAATATTTTACTAATTACGTTATTAATTTAAACTTAATTCATTCAAAAGATGGGTAACTTCAAACAACATTTCGCCGAGATGCGCAACAAAAACGTCTCTCCAGGACCTTACAGACTAAAGAACAACACTGTTTTACACAGCATGTAGTAATACGACAAAACCAAATTTCAATATTAGCTACAATAAAAAAAAAAAAAAACTAATTACAATATTAGACGTATCGGTAGTATCAAGTATAGTAAAATTAGGTTATTGCATAATGAACACACCGGTATTACTAATGTAACTTGTTATTCATTTTTTAATTTTTTAATCGTCTTTAAACGCATAGTTATACACATATACACACACAAACACACACACACTTTTACATAAAACAATTTAGTGTTGCACAACATACTACATATATATAACTATGATTTAGCTTACAGAAAAAAAATATATTAAAGAAATTATAAGTAATAATTATAATACAAATTTACTATTTATGAAGGGATTGTTGGACATTGTCGGTCAATATATTTATTTAACATTAAATAAGTGTCCTGCTGTATATAACAATAGTAAATTATTTTTAAAAAAGAACAATATTAGGGTTCTGTGTAAACGTAATTTAATCAACAATTTATTTTAGGAACTAATTCGATTAGTTTAAATCATTATTTTAAAAATTAACTAAAATTAATCTTYATCTAATTTCAAGTATTATTATTACTTTTCAATTTGAATACGTACAATAAATATATCACAGTAAATACTGCAWGCATGCAAATAAAGAGTGTTTAGAATAGTGAGTATTCACAAAAAATATAACGAGATAAGTTTCTAAAAACATTATACCATAGAGGACGAGAGTATGAGTTAATTATACAAAATAAGGGTAGAACAAATACATACAAAATAATAAAATAAATTATAAAATGTTAGTACTTTTTCTTTCTCAAACATAGTAATACAAATTGCGCTGAGTTATTTGTGTAACTTTATATTTTATTAAAATGCACTAGGTAAATCTCAACAATTTTGCTAAACTATCAAATAACACTGTTATAAAGAAATTATAAAATCAATGTTTAACATTAATTGTTATAATTCATTTAAAAAATAATCTTTAATAAGAACTGAACATCTGCAAATTGAAATAAACAAACAAAAAAATTTAAAAGGCACAACCAATCAATCTTGAGAAAGAAAAAAAATTATTAAAAAAAAATTATAACTATAAAGGTATTTATCAATCAAGCACAGCCTATTCCAAGGGCAAGGGGCAGTGTCACCAGCCGTTTTTTTTTATGTAATATAATTATTTAATAAATTACTTAATTCTAATTTTTATAAATACTATACATAGAATTTCATTGATTCACGCTAACTTACAATTTATTTAAAATTAAAATTTAATATCACAGATATGTTTGCAGATCATTTTCATTAAAACAAAATACTGCAATATATTATTATAAACTAAAAATTAAATAATTATTGTAATCAAAAGAACATTTTTCAATTTAAAGAATTAAAGTTTATGTCAAAATTATACTAAAAAGACAGTCATATCATTAACAGTTTTGTTAAGTGCACGTCGTAGGAGCTACACCATAGGTGTTAACTCTCATTTCTTCAATTGCTTTACACCATTCCAACGCAAATCCTTCAGGATCTTCTAGGTAATAAGTCCTGTTGGGCTGCAAAGGAAAATTCAAATAATCAAAATTAAATGTCAAAAAAGTTTAAATAAATAATTAGGTAAAACATATTAAATTAGGTAATACATTAAATATAATTTAAAAATAAAATAGAAATTGTAGTTACCGTGTGAACGAAAAATATCCTGAAATTTTTAGGTTCCACACGCAATTGTGGACTCCAAGGTATTTCTCCTTTTAAAGTCATAGATGCTGGATCAGCATAATACAAATGAGGACCCATTGTTAACATCAGCATACGTCTTCTGGCAAAAAGACCCTAAAAATGAAAAATAAATAAATTAAGACCATACAAATTATAGAAGGCATTCATATTRTAATATGCTGAACAACAAAACTCACTTTTCGCTTGTCAACCAATCCTTGTTTGACAATCAGATTGCCCTCTACTAAACCATGCCATTTACTGTTACATTTTTGCTGGTTTAGTTGGTGTTGCTTCTCTTCGTCATTCATATGAAGAATGCCGGACCGTTTACGCGGTCTAGGTACAGATGCTGGGGTAGTCGTTGAACTGCTTTGGCCATCCAGACCCAGTAACCTGGTGAGTTGTTTGTCGTCTAGCCCCGGTTCCAAATGATCAGGAACTCGATATTGGCTACGAAGCTCTTGGCCTTCACTATTTCCAGGTAGGTAAGGGTATATAGGTGGTGGATTTGTTAAGTGCAACGTGTCAAAATCCAAGCCACTGTAGAACGGATGTGAGCGAATTGAAATGTATCGTTGGTCATCCTTGGTGCCCAGGCGTTCGTTTGGATCAAGCACTAACAATTTCTGTACCAAATCTTTGGCATCAGCGTTGAATCCGTCTGGATACACATAGTCGAGGTTCAGAATTTTTTTGAACAACATGTATTCACTCCTGCAAAAAGGAAATTTGAATAGTTCATAATACCTTATAATATGATAAACACGTTCGTTATAGTATAGAAGTATATCATTCGCACCGGCACCACCAAACATAGTGATGAATACCGAATATTATATTACAATGTAAGTACGTACCTCGATCGAAAAGGAGGTAAACCGGCAATCATTTGATAGATAATGCAACCGAGGGCCCAAAGATCAGAACTTGGCGAAATCGTCTTCTCGGTCAACAATTCGGGACT